TTGCAGCAATACATTTCAATTGATATTCCATTAATTCCTGGAACCTTGATTTTTAGCTAATTCCTTCAGTGTAGCTTGACCTTCTTCCTTTAGTACCAATGGTCTCATCATATGCTACCTTCTGAAATGGTTGAAATGTAGTCTTTTTGGTTCAATGACTGTGCATTCTTTCCATCTTCTTTTAATGCTTCCTGCATTATTCAATATTTTGCCCATGGGATCTTTCAATATTACAATTCAAGGCTTGATTTTTTTTTAAGTTCTCTTAGTTATAGATATGCTGACTTTATTAGAATTAGAAAACACTTTTGGTTTTCTAATTCTAGGTTTTTGCGTATTTCATTACAATGTTTTACATTTTCCTCTAGAGTTACCCTTTCAAATTTTCTGTTCAGTTCTTTAACTTCATCATTTCTTCCATTTAGCTTAACTTACTCTACAATTAAAAGCAAGTTTCAAGAGTCTCTTCTGACACGCACTTTGGCCTTTTCTTTCTTTCCTTTTCATGGCCTTTTGTTTTCTTCATGCATGATGTTCTTCATGGCATCCCCACCGTTCATCAGGTCTTCAGTCACTAGTGTTCAATCTTGATTATGTACTCAAGGTCCTATTTGGCTTTTGTGGACTTCGTTTAATTTTTTTCAGCTTCAACTTGAACTTACATATAAGCAACTGATGGTCTGTTCCACAGTTGGCTCCTGGTCTGGTTTTAGCTGCTAATAGTGAGCTTCTCCATTATCTCTTCACCCAGAGATAGTCAATTTGATTTCTGTATATTCCATCTGAAGAATCCTAAATGAAGTCGCTTTCTGTATTGCTGAAGAAAGGTATCTGCAAGGAAGAAGTCAGTGGCCTTGCAAAAATTCTACCATGTGATCTCCAGTGTGTTTTTTTAAATCATTTTATTGGGGACTCATACAACTCTTATCATAGTCCATACATCCATTGTCTCAAGTACATCTGTACATGTTGCCATCATTGGTTTCAAAGCATTTTTTTTCTACTTGAGCCCTTGGTATCAGCTCATTTTTACCCCTCCCTTCCTCATGAACCCTTGATAATTTACAAATTATTATTTTTGCATGTCTGGCATTGTCTGATGGCTCCCCCCTCCCACCCCCTTGTCTGTTGTCCATCCCCTGAGAGGAGGTTATAGGTAGGTCATTGTGATCAGTTCCCCCTTTCTCCTCCTACCTTCCCCTTACCATCATGGTGTGGCTACTCTCAATATTGGTCCCGAGGAGTTTATGTGTCCTATATTCCCTGTGTTTCCAGCTCTTATCTGTACCCTTGTACATGCTCTGGTCTAGCCAGATTTGTAAGGTAGAATTAGGGTCATGATAGTGGGGGGGTGGAGAAGCATTAAAGAACCAGAGGAAAGCTGTATGTTTCATCGGTGCTACACCGCACCCTTACTGGCCCATCTTCTCCCCACAACCTTTCTGTAAAGGGATGTCCAATTGCTTACAGATTGGCTTTGGGCCTCCACTCTTCACTCTCCCCCACCCCACCTGCCACTCACATTGATTTTTCACTCTGGGTCTTTGATACTGGATACCTGATCTCATCGACACCTCATAATCACCCAGGCTGGTGTGTTTCTTCCATGTGGGCTTTGTTGGTTCTCAGCTAGATGGCCACTTGTTTATCTTCAAGCCTTTAAGACCCCAGACTCCAGCTTCATTTTTATCACAACTACTTTCCTTCCTCTGATTCCAACTTTTGCATTCCAATTGCCAATAATTGTCAATGCATATTAATTACATGCTTGATTAATTTCAGACTGCAGACATTGATAGAATTCTTAAATATCTTTTCACTAGCTTTAATGGTTAGTGCATATATTTGAATAATAGTTGTATTGACTGAATTTCCTTGTATGTGGACAGATATAATCCTATCACGCCTAGAACTAAACTTCAAGATGTATCTTGAAATGTCCTGTTTGACAACAGAGACAACACCATTCCTCTTGAAGCCGTCATTCCTGGCATTAACCATATGACCTCCTGATTCTAAATGGCCAATGTCATCCGATTTTGGCTCACTAAAGCCTAGCATATTTATCATAATGTATGCAATCCATTTCATTTTTGCTAACATCCAATTTTCCTTTCATGTTTCATACATTCCAAGTTTTAATATTAATAGATGTTTGCAGCTGTTTCTTCTCACTTTGAGCTATCCTCCATGAGTAAGCGAAGGACCCAAAGGCTTTATTCTTGAAGGCTTTTAGTTCACCCACGTCACTGTGGTCAACTCTACTTTGAGAATGCAGCTCTTCCTCAAAGTACCTTCTGATCTGAGGGGTGAATCTTCTGGCACTATCTCTGACAATGTTTTGCTGCTATCCATAAGGTTTTCAGTGGCTAATTCCTTAGAACAGCCTGTTCCTCTTCAAAGTCTGTTATTAATTCTGAAAGCCCTGCTGAAACCTGTTCACTTTGGGTGATCCTACTGATATTTGAAATACCAGTTAACATAGTTTCCCACACCACATAAGTCACCACAGCACAAACTGACAAACTGATATGTGGATTTCTGGCCAATATTCTCTCTGAACTTGATTCTAAGATAGAATAATCAATTACTTACATAATGTCCTCAATGTCCCTGGAAGCAGCTTCTTATCCATTCCTATCTACAACAGGGACCCCTACTTACTGCGCTCAACACCTTTCTATAAAGGGTACCTCTAAACAGCTTAATAAATGATAGTTCATCCATGTTACTTAAGCTTTCTAAGCTAGCACTGCATGTGACAAAGTACACCCTTCACATGTTCTATCCTCTTCATTAGGTAGAGTTCCCTCCTCCATGTCCCATGTACCAATATCTAGTCTTCTAATAAATCCAATTGCTACTACTTCCTACAGAGCTTTCAATCTCCTCAGCTTTTGCCCCACTTCAGGCTCATTTAGGATCCCACTAACCCAACCACTGCCCCTGTTTTTACTCTTCCCTCTTCCCTCATCCATAATCTACAGAGCTCATGTCAATCTCCTAAGTTTCAGGCTGCAAATATCCCACCCTCCCAACCTTCTTTTCTCCTCTGACCCTACCTCTCTTCCTATACCTCTTATATTCACAAAAACACCTATATTCACAATAAAAACTCACCCTTCTCACTGAGAGTGCTTCAGCACTGGTTGCTTCTCCAAGGAACCTGCACAACTTCTGCTCAAAGCACTCAGTCAGAGAGCCCTTTACACAGGGTCCAAGATTACACAATGGATGCTTTTACACAGATACCTCGGACATCGGATACCTGTTTCTAGGACAATATTTCCAGCAAATGCTAAGTGCTCAATAATTCTAATATCTTGGTTAGACATTTATTTGTAAACTTCAAGCCAAAAGGGAAAGGTAGTATTAATTTTCACAACTATCTCTTCTTTCCTGAACAACCAAACCTTCCACTCAAAAGCTCAAGTCTATACTTAGTAAAAAGACAAATATATAATTTACTACCTTGATTTACAGTTTGTGGCCAAGTATCAAACTGCTTGCTGCTTGCACATAGACCTAAGATTCAGGAAAGCCAATCAGTCACCCTAGCTGCCCAGCTTCTAGTCCATTCACTCCAACCTGCACTTAATTCAAACCCCAGATTCATTACTTGACTCCAATCTGGCCTATGCCCGTGCCATTTCTCGTTGCCTGCTGTGTTAATCCAGGTAGACTAGAGAAACAAATCCAAAGAAACTCATGTGTGAATAAGAAAGAGGTTTATATACAAGAGCAATTGAATATTGAGAAAACATCCCAACCCAGTCCAGTCCAAGCCCGTAAGTCCAAGATTAGTCCATATGTCCAATACCAATCTAAAAAGGCCTCTTTGGACTTATGAAGCACATGCAATGATGCTGAATGCAGGACAATTGTACATTAAGAAAGCATGCCAACCCAGTCCAGTGGTGGTGTTAAGCATCTTAGCACTGGCAAGGGTCTCTATGTGGCATCTCCAGCTTTAGAGGTCTGGTTGCATAGGTCCATGTGACTTCTCCAGCTCAGAGCACTACCGTAGTTCCATGTGTCTTGTCAGCTGAAATGTCTCCCAGGGAGTCAGTAGCATGAGATGTCTTCCACGTCCAAAGAGGAAAAGTAGGAGTTCCCAGAATTCTCAGGAGAAGGCCATGCCCACAGAGGCCTCAATGGTTATATCTTGAATGACAGGCCAGACCCCACCCCTTCACTCATAATCCTCTCAAATTGAGACCAGATTATGTAACTATCACACCTACCTACAAGACCCATGCTCCCAAGGCTACCAATAATTTTAACAACACAAGTCTGGTCAGTTATAAAAAAAAAATAGTAATAATAATAGTAAGCTGTAGCTTGGTGCAAAACACCATAAAGGTGTTTTTTATCATTATAATACAAAAAAATGAAGCACAAGTGCATTTAGACACTTGTTGCACTCTAAAAGATCCTAATGATTAAACTCACCTAAAAGAGAAATAGTCTTAATTTCTTTATACAAAACTCCACTATCTTAAAATAGAATTAATCTAGCATTTAAAATCACAGTGGCATTCACAGAAGTCTAGACTTTTCAGGGTAGAAATTACAAATGACAAACAGGCCACTTCCTTTGAAAAATGACTGCTGGATTACCCAATCAAAATGTCATACTATTAAAGAAGACAGGGCCGTTTCAACATCAAATCATTTAAAATTCTTAAGTTCTCCTCAGATATTCTTCCAATTTAACAACTTTAAAAATAGTACCATATAGTCAAATTGTTAAATCTAATGATAACTCTTTAGCAAACACACACACAAAAAGCTACTTCTTACACAGATATTCTGAACCAGAAACATATTTCCATCTGCTTAAATATAGGAATTATGGCCAAGAGCTGAAAACTACCAAAAAGCAGAAAAGATGGCACAGGAGACCAGAGAAGATAGCTTTATAAACACTAATAAAACTGGCCACGCATGGTTAGCACTTAAAGGAAACTTTACACAGTGAAAAAATAAATAAAGTTTACCTCTGAGCAAGATTTTGCTTGTTTGGAAACCTGGCCTCCATTATTTTCAGAAGACTTCCGTTTTATAGCTCCAATTGTTGTAGAATTACCTAAGATATTAAAAAATACGTAAGTTGGAATAATGTGAGAACAAAGGAAAAAAGAAAGTATTTTAATCAAACAGTAACTTACCACATGCCACAAAGTTATCATGTATAACTTCAACATGTATCAGTGACGGTTCAATAATATTCAGTGCTGGAATCTTAAAAAAAAAAAAAAAGACTGGTTTTAAAAAGTGCTTAAGAACCTAGGGGAGAGTAGCTCATTAACAACAAGCCCCATCCCCCCAAAATAGGGCTTACAAAATATCTTATTTTAAAAACAATTGTGATGCTCTAATATCTTAGTAGAAAATAACAAAGGTCTTTAGCTCCTTTCTCTCCCATAATTTAAAATATATTTTTAAAAATTTTAGAATGTGACTCAAATAAAGGCAGTTTCCTGAATAAAGTCAATATTTTCCCCTACATTCCAAAACTGAAATTAAACACATTCTTTTTCTCTCTAGTAACAACATAGTATAGATTATTTTACAACTTGAACTAATTTTAACTAAATATTACAATGGCCATAAACTTAGAAAATGCCACAGTCTAAGCTTTCTTTTTAAAAATTTAATCATGTTATTGGGGGCTCATACAACTCTTATTACAATCTATACATACATACATTTGTTGCCATCATCATTCTCAAAACATTTGCTTTCTCCTTGAGCCCTTGTTATCAGCTCAATTTCCCCCCTCCCTCCTGGCTAATTTAGATATTATTATTTTGTCATAGCTTACACTGTCCGACGTCTTCCTTTACCCACTTTTCTGTTGTCCATCCTTTCCACCCTACCTTCCCTCCACCCTCCCAGTATCGCCACTCTCAACACTGGTCCTCAAGGGATCATCTGTCCTGAATTCCCTGTGTTTCCAGTTCCTATCTGTACCAGTGTACATCCTCTGGTCTAGCCATATTTGTAAGGCAGAATTGGGATCATGATAGTAGCTCCTTTTTATAATTCATATTTTTTAATACTTATCTTTCCTTCTCACGTTAGCTTACATGTAATTGTTATCCTCTTTACCTTAGCACAGTTGACTTGAAGAGTTTTTGACGCTGGGTTCCCATTTACAATGGTTGCTGAAAACCACTGAGTATGTGGTTCCAAGCTGTAAATCTTTACTTCTGAACCAACTAAGTTTTTGTCACCTTCAAAAAAAAAAAAATTTACATTGTCTCCCAATAGCACCATTACACTGAGCAGTCTTTCTCTAACTTTTAAAACAAAATCTAGTAAGTAAACATTCAAAAATAAAACTGTGTATATGAAAAGACATATTTTGGCAAAGTTAAGAGAAAACTAAAACTTTTTATTTTAAAGCTCTCTTTTCCTAACAATTTATCTCAAGCATGGCCTGTGAAGAGTTTTAGTGGAAGTAAATTCAGGAACCCCAAAAGGAACTACTATATATCAGGTAACAGATAAATTGAGACTGTGAAATTGGCCAAGAAATTCAATAATAGGAAATGAGGTCAGGATTACCAAATGAATGCCTTAATTTTTATACTTAAAATTCAAAACATCAAATGTCGTAATAGAGCCAATCCTTTAGAATAACCTACCATCTATACTCATGTATAAGCCGAGTTTTTCAGCACATTTTTAATGCAGTTGTTGTGGTAAAACGAGATGCCTTGGCTGATATTCGGGCTGGCTTAAACTCAAGTATATATGGTACTTTACTTTTCTATAATTCCTGAACTTTCCACACTTCACAGGCTTTAGGACACTCATAAAGTCGTTCAATCATCTTATTACATGGTAAAAGTGGAGAAAAGTTTATTAAAAAATAAGAAATTTCGATGAGAAAATGAGGACTAAAATTTACGGAATTTCCCCCCAGCTAACCATTGGTCACCTTATTTGTATACCTTGTAAAAGATGACTTTCATCTAAATGTTTCACAATCAAAGCTTGAAATTCTTTACTGACATTCTGATTATCCGAAAGGGAAAGTCGAAGACTGTTTACATCCTAAAATTAAAAATTTTTTAAAATGAAGTCTTAAAATAGTAAGTAAGAGAGATGTTCAAATTCCAATCAGTTTAATTAAGGATTACAACAGCATAAGATAGCTATTTGATGGTAACAAAGTACTCTAGCATCAATGAGCTAAACAGGTCAAAAAGTTAAGAACCATCAAATAATCATAGTTTAGCAAACTGAAATGAAGCCATTCAAAGATAAGAGGGTGAGAAATACTAAGAATGGCTCAAAGCATAATTTTAAACATGAGGTAATATGGTTATAAGAAACAGTTAAACAAAAAAAGAAAATACTAGCTGTCATCCTAACTCTAAACACCACATTCCCACACTAAGATTGAGGAAAGAGCAGCTCCAGATACAAGAGGTAAGAGACACATAGAAATGTAGATGCAGGACACATATTAAGATCAATCCCATATTATCAACTGCTGAAACAGTTTTTACAAAACAAATTACTTCACAAAGTTACATTTAAGCTAAATAGTATCCCAAATGTATTCTTCTGTATAAAAAGATGAGAGGGGGATAAAATAGAAAATATGAATGGATAACCCAAGTCTTTAGTAAACCAGTTTCTGAACATTCTATTTTTGGTAGCAGCTCCATTCTTGGCACCAGTCCATAGTTTCCTGGCTTTGTGAGCATACCCAGTTATGATAAATGTATACAGAAACTGCCAATAGGAACCACCTGCCAAATCCAAACTCTAGCAGGGGTAAAAAAAACCCCGAGTGCTAGACACAGTAATCATTTTGGTAACAGGCCTTCATGCTTTTCTGCAACTGAAAGGAATAAATAGCAACAAAGAATGTTTCATTCATTTTCCCCATTGTGAAAGGCAATTTGTCTATCAGGGAATGGACTAGAAAAATACCTTTCTTTACCCAACTAAGTAGTCTTCATAAGAACTCAACATTAACTACCACCCTGGCTGTTTTGGACTTTCTTGAGCATTTACTGCTACTGCAATTTCTAAAAACGTAAACACGTACTCAAGGTCCTACAACAAAATGAACCACTTATGGAGAGAGACATGAGGGACTTTTCTATAAAACAGAACAATTGTCATCTGTCAGGAGAGCTTGAGGGTTCAGCAAGTGTCAGACAGTTGATATGAGTACCTTTTCCTATTTTAAAAGTTTTATTGGCATGATTCACATACTACGCAATTCAATAATTCGTGGTTTTTCTTCCAAACCCATGGTTAGCTGAACCAAATTCAACCCCAAAGGCAGACTTTAAATCTCAATCCCAACTTTTGCACATACCAAGTGACATCTAGAGTAAGTACTTTACTGGGTTAATTACACCCAGAGTCTCACTAGGCTCTCACAGGCCTATTATAATCATCCACACAAAAGCACCTGAAGACTCCCCAAAGCACTGAACACTGACACCTAATGATTATATATTACCAGCAAAGCAAGTACACACGTCACAATTCTCAAGTATTATTATTATATTAATAATATAGATTTGCTCACTCCCCTGGCAGTTACTGGTATAATTCAATATTCTTTGCCAGCATCATAATTCAAGGGTATGAACAGTTCAGTCTTTTTCATTCAATGTCCAGTTTTTAGGTGCATGAGGTGAAACCTTAGTCTTCAAAGTTCATGTTTGCTTTTCACACTCTAAAGAGCTATTCTGCAGATTTACCAATGCACGCTGCTATTTGATTTTTTGGCTGTTGCTTCCATGGGCAAGCATTACAGATCCAAGTAAAATAGCTGGTTTTACCACACTTACATCCCACAGTGCATCAATTTGATACTAAAAAGATACCTCCCTAAGAACAAATAAAAGCTTACTGATGTAGTTATTTCTTTTTCACTCTAAAGAAACTAAGATTTCTAATTTAACTGAAAAGTTTGGACACATGAATTTGTAAATCCAAAAAAATAATTGCTTAAAAGTAAAAATTATATCATCAATAAAACAAGATATCCACATCTCCCTGCATGTTCCTTGGTCCTTAAAAACAAAAAACCAAATACTCACTGCCATCAAGTCAATTCTAACTCATAGTGACCTTACGCAGCGCTTCCAAAACTAATCTTTATTAAGTGTAGCCAGTTTCATCTTTTTGCCCACAAAGCACTGGTAGTTGCAGCTAGCAACCCAATACTTAACCCACTATACCACCAAGGCTCCTCAGATTTATAACTATAGACAGAAAGAAAGGTTCTTTTTTTACCTGTATAGGCTTCAAAAGGTCTTTAGAAAGAAACACTCTTTGTTGATCTCCTAGAAAACGAACAGAAGTTATGGATCCCAAACCAGCTTTGTCCAAAAGAGATTTGTACATCTGAAACAAAGAAAGTTTTGGGCATCATAATTGTTATGAACATAATTCTGAAAATAGGGACTGGCAATTTTATATACACACAGAGAAAAAAATAAGGTCATTATGGTCTTTACTTACTGTAAAAAACTCAAAGTTTAGGCAACTCCAAAAAGAATACACAATTTCTATATGAACCAATAATTTAAACTAAATAAAACTGTAATACTTACTGACAATGAATTGAATTAAGTTTTCTATTAAAGGGAAGCAATCATAAATTCAGCCTTCAAAATCTAAAACTTATTAAGCCATCCATTTGAGATGTCATTTTATGTTGGAATACTTCCTATTCTTTAAACACTGTACTAGGAGTGAAAAGATTACGTTTGTCTTCAAATTTGGTCTAATAAGAAAACAACATAAAATTATGATAGGATATAAGAGGCAGTGACAAGAAATATATTAAGTATTATGAGGATTTGGATATCAACTTCCCAAATTATTCTGTATCCTGAAAGCTAAGAGGAAACCCCTGAATGAAGGGTTTTAAATGATCCATTCTGGTAGGTATGCAATGTCCCCGATCAGTGCAAGATTAGAGAACTAAAGGCAAGAGTTAAGAGCCCAAATAAAGAAGTGGTGGTGTGGTTACATGTTGGGCTACTGACTGCAAGGTCAGCAGTTCAAAACTAGTTGCTCCTCAGGAGAAACAAAAGGTTTTTTACTCTATCCAAAGAGACAGTCTCAAAAACCTACAGGGACAGTTCTACCCTGTCATATAGCATTGCTATGAGTTGGAAATGACTGGCTGACATTAGGCTTAGGTTGGTTTTGTTTTGTTTTTTTGGTGGCACTAAAGAAATAGCAAATTTAGAAAGCAATTAATTAAGTCTTTGTGATCAAGATAGGAAATGTGATACTACTAAAGAGAATCATGGTTAAGAAATAGGTTGAAGTATTTCTTGAGGGGAAAGGACAAAGTGAGGTCATTTAAGACTTGAGTCTGAGAGGCCTACAAGACATTCTAGGGAAACTGTGTACGGAAATCAGAAATACAGGACAAAAACTGGGGCTGTACTAATACATTCAGGGAGCCAGCACTGTATAGATCATTTGTGTAAAAAAAAGTACCTGTATTTTTTAAAGATTTTATTGGGGGCTCTTACAGCTCTCATAATAATGCATACATCAATTGTATCAAGCATATTTGTACATATGTTACCATCATCATTTTCTGAATATTTACTTTCTATTTCAGCCCTTTTTTCCCTCCTTCCCATCCTCGAGATTATTTTCATATCTTACATCAACCGCCATCTCCCTTCACCCATATTCTGTTGTTCGCCACCCACCCCCACACCCTCCTTAAGGGGTGGTTGGTGGTTGTATGTGTATTTTTCTGAACAGCTAGGGGAGAAAAATTTTAAAGGCAAGATAGAACTTTAGCCAGAACTCTTTTTATCACTCAAAAATCTCATTCATGGGAGCAAAATCTTAACCTTGCTCAAATGGCATGTAGGGCCCTTTACAATCTGGTTAGCCTTTGAATCGTTCCTGGTCTTTCCAAGTATGCCAATCTGAACCTTCCCCTTTCAAGCTCCAGCTCAAGACATCTCAAGACACAGGATCGTTCCGCTCTTCTAACTTCCCCGGACTTAAGATGTCAATAAAACATAATCATACTCTGACTGTAAAGCCAAACCAAATACTATGGTATGAGCCACAGTGAAGCCTAGAGCATCATGAAACCAAGCAAGACTAGAAACGCCTACAGGTTAAGTAACCAGTATAACTCAGCTCCCAGAATACTGATATGAAAAGTCCTACTCTAGTCATAGCTGGCAGTTTCCACTGGAGAAACTGGGAATTCAGTTGTTTAGGTATAGTCCTCCACTTCTGTAAACAAGGGCAAGTAATTCCAATTTCTTTAAACTGTTTTAATGTTAAGCGCTATGCATTAGAGCTTAAATTCTGATCACCCAAGTTTGCAAAAGGTTCTGAATGGCAGTGACAGCCCAAAATCTATTTGCAAGGTCCCCAAACAGATTAAGCCTCCACTGAATTATTTCTGATCGCTAATCAAGGAGGTAAGATAATCTTGCCCTTAGGCAGAATGCCTTAGAGAGTGGATTGCGTCCACCTATCTCGGACTATCTTAGGGAGGGGCACTCTCTTAGGGGCTTTGGTAGTTGTGTCCTTAATGGAGGTCACTGTATGAGGAGACTACAGGGGGGTCATATAGTCATGAGTCATGCCTACTAATCTCCCACTGAATGCCGTACCAATCTTATAAGCCCTTCTAACAATGTGTATGTCCCAAATGTGGTCTTGGTCCCACTTATAATTGTGATGCTGTCATCTGCCACCAATTATGTTTATGTGACAGTTTCCTTTGCCCTCCCATGACCTTTGGTAACTAAAGGGGAAGAGAAAAGGAAGACTCTCCAGGAGATGGACTGGCATGGTGTCTGCAACAATGAGCTCAAGCATAGGAATAATTATGATGTACAGGACCAGGGAGTGTTTCATTCTGTTGTGTATAGGATCACCATGGGCCAGAACTGATTGGATGGCACCTAACAACAAACCCTTGGATGTCATTTTAACCTTGTGCTACTAGCCTCCCTCATCTGGATGCTGTCTTTTTGTTGTCTTTGTCTCTCATAAGACTTAATATTCTCCTTAAATTATATGAGATAATTTATCTCTTTTGCCCCCCAAAACACTTAAAACAAATCTGTGTGTTTGCATATGGCTTCTGATTTCTGACCTGTAGCCTCTGGTACTTCTCACATTACTTCTATCCCCATTTTACAAGGTAAGGAAAGGAACAAGGCAAAGAAAGTCAAGGAACTGGCCCAGAGTGACCGTGCTCCTATTTGGCTGGCAGGAATTCCTGAGTGTGCTTCAAAATTCTTCATATTGTCACACACATGGCTCTATTATTTCGAGAGTACTGAATAAAGGCATTGCATATACTATTTCCTTGTTTCCCCCATAATGAATGAAATGCCCTCTTCTTATGAGTTCAATAAACCTAAGAGAAGCTTTACTCACTAGTGCAGGCCACTGAACATGTTCAGAATCCTCGGGAGACTTCCGCTCAGCCAAAACCAAGTTATGCTCTACTAAAAATGCTCTCCTTAGTTGACTATAGACGTCTATCCATCTTCTCTTCCTCCAAGATTCGCCATCAAACTCCACACACACCTAGACAAATATTTGAAAAAAGGCAGTCAACTGACAAAGACACACATTAAAAACAACCAAATTGAATTATATCCATAGTATTATACGTTAATCTTTTCCTAAATGTTCTGTCCCCTTTGCCACACTCATTCTCTTACCTCCCTTCACAACCCCCAATATAACTTGATCTAGATGGGTGAGTCTTTGGCTCCTAAACCACTTTGGAAAGCAGAAGACAAGGGCTCTTGGGGCCAAGTCTCTGTCTCTAAAGTAACTTCTGGGAAACACACAAACCAAACTCAAAAGATTTTCAAATATTTAATTAAACACCTGAGCTTTGGGAGTTAGAAGACACAGAGAACTTAGGGGTCAAAACCCCCAAGGTTATGCGGATTATATTGTACTGTTATTCTATGTAAACATTATCTGCAACCCCATCCCCACCATCTGCTTTTTCATTCCTTTGGCATTAGGCTTTGGCACAAGGCCTAACAGTACATACCGATATTTCTTTTCTCCAAAACCATTTTATTAGGAGTTAATACAGCTATCATATCATTCCATAGTTCAATTACATCAAGCAGTATTATACATTTGCTACCAGTTTCAATATTCTCTTCCTTCTAGAACTCCTTGATAACAGCTTCCTTTTTATGCCCCCTCCTCCCAACTTCCTGTACCCCTAGAAACCCTTATTCTACTGGCTCTCTCTATAGGTTCATAAATCCTGGGTTTCATATACCGAAAAATAGAAAAACATGTAACTTTGCCATAGGTTCCCAAACTTACGGTATGTAACCTACTGTCCCCTTTTCAGAAAAAAAAAAAAAATCACTCAGCACTTTCCTAGCAATTAAAAACCTTTTTACTATTGCCTATAATCCAAAATAAAGCATAGATGGAGCTCTGGAAACCCCTGTAGATCATTCCAGTGCCCCACACAGGATGATGTCGTACACTTTGGGAAACAATGCTTTAGGTAAATTAACTGGGAAATTTACCTTAATTTGTAGTCTAAGACTGCAGTGCTGTTTGCTAAGTATAGGTAACAAGTAATTAATAACTCACCCCAGAGTTTTTCAGAACTATCTCTAGTTTCTAATACAAATTCAAACTACCTTAGAAAAATATACATATATATTTTTAGTTAGCTTTTAAGTCTTTTGATCTACAAAACATTTTTGAACCCTAACGTTACAACCTGTACAACCTAATCTTTTTATTTGATTTAAAATTTATTAAAGAATTCTTTCATTGCTGGCTTTCAAGGAATTACTATATCTGTACTATTAATTAATGATTTTACAGACACCGTTATCAATCATATCTCCCTAACCAACCTTTAGTTTACTAGCCAGTTAATTTACATGCATCTGTCAGAACCCAACTCGAAAATTCTTTCCACTAAGTCTTCCCTTATCAAAAACCCCATCTTGCCAGAGTGACCTTCTTGCTAATTGTACTCACAGTCCTGTATCTTTCGTAACTTCCCTACACTTACCTAGTACATTTTAAATTATGTTTATGGTTAACTGACATATTATAAACTCTTATGGGTAAAAATCTGTGCCAATTTTTCTCATCAGAGAGATATAGAATCTAGGCAATACTCAAATACTTGATGAATGAACAAATTCTCTCTGATTAAGCTTTCTTCTATCCTCTCATCTTCAAATTTCCCAGCTGATATTACCACTAGCCCAATTCCCAAACCTTCTCTAGTCTTCTTATTAAGTGCCATCAAGTTAGTTCTGGGTCACAGTCACCCCATGTATAACAAAACAAAACAAAACACTACCCAGTCCTAGCCTATCACCACAATCGTTGCTATGTTTGAATGAGTTATTATTACCACTGTGCCAAACCACAATGTTGAGGATCTTCTTTTTGATCATCTACTTTCCCAAGTATGACATCGCCAGTCTTATAAGAATAACTCAAACTTACTGCCATCGAGTCAATGCTGACTCAGCAATCCCCTGTGGGTTTCCAAGACTACCTACAGAAAGTCCAGTCTTTCTCCAGAGGAGCTGCTCGTGATTTTGAACTGCCGACCATGCAGATATCAGTCCAATGCATTAAACACTACACCACCAAGGCTCCTCAAAAATAAGAGCATCATCCTAAAAAATCAATGAAAGTCAGGATCCATCCTAACCTTTCCTGTCCAACAGCAAAATGAGTATCCTCAACTTCCAGGCAGCTTCTTTAGGAAGACACATATCTCTTGAGATGACAGTTTTCTATCCTTAAGTTATTACTAAATAGTATTTAAAATCAGAATACAAATATGTATCTACTATGTGACAAGACACTGAGTATTTTTTGTTGTTGTTCTTGTTAAGTGTTATCAAGTCAGTTCCAACTTATAGAAACTACCTAAAACACAATGGAACATTACATGGTCCTACCCCATCCTCACACCACTGCTAAGTTTGAGTCTATTGTTGCAGCCACTCTCACTGAAAGTCTTCCTCCTTTCACTGGCCACCTAACATACACACACACACACACACACACACACACACACACACTCGAGTATAAGCCGAGGCACCTAATTTTACCACAAAAAACTGTGGGGGGTTTTCAGCATTAAAAATGTGCTTGGAAAAAAAATGCGGCTTATACTCGAGTATATATGGTAATTTTCTAAGCATGATGTCTTTATCCAAGAACTGGTCTCCCCTGATTAACAGTTCCAAAGTACATGAAACTCCCAAGAAGCATTCTGGCTGTACACCTTCCAACACAGATGTTAATTCTTCTGGCAATCTATATAGTACAGTCAGTACTCTTCATCATAAATCAGTCACTATTCTTTACCATAAATTTTACAGGAGTGAAAAATCTCTCACCCATGGAGCAGCTGGTAGTTTTTAAATGCTGACCTATCAGATAAAAGGCCCAACTTGTAACCAGAACTTTCAGTCCTCAAAGTGACATCTTTTAAAGAGGTCTTTTGAAGCAGATTTGCCCCATACAATCATACATCCTACGATTTCCTGTTGCTTCTATGGGTGTTTAATTGTGGATCCAAGGTAAAGGAAAATCCTTGGCAACTTTGTCAGTAATTTCTGTTTACTGTAACATTTCTTATAGTTCTAGTGGTGAGAATTTTTGTTGGGGTGTAACCGGTACTAGTAAAGGTTGTAGTCTGTGATATTTATCAGTGATTATTTCACATCCTCTTCATTTTCAGCAAGTTATGCCTTCTAGTTACAGCAGTTTGCTAATGAGTTTTCTTCCAATCCTGATGCCAATCTTCAAATAGTCTGAGTTCTCAGATTGTCTACTAAGCAGAGATTTAAAAGTACAGTGATACAGAACACAACCCTGATATATACCTTTCCCGAGCTTAAACACATAACATTCTCTTATTGTTTGAATGACTGCTTCCTCTTCATCCATGCAGATTGTGCATTTCTCAGTCTTTACAATGCTATCCACAATTTATGTCCCACGCAGCTGAATGTCTTTGCATGGTCTAAAGCACAAGTTAACATCTTTCTAGTATTCGGTCAGCCAAGATCTATTCGATGCCAGCAATAATAACTACAATTCCATGTCCCCTTCTGAATTTAGCTTAACCTTCTTTCTGGTAGCTGTCAACGAACTGCTACAGCTGTGTTATGTTTCTGTTTTTAATTACCTTCAGTAATATTCTACTTGCATGTGATGTTAGTAATATGGCTCTAATTTCTGCTTTTCTCTTTTTTTTAATTTCTACTTTCAATTGGGCAATCTTTCTTTCGAATGGGCACAAATGTGGGTCTTCCAGTTGGTTGATAGGCAGCTGTTTTCCAATTTCCTAGGCACAGTAACTGAGACCATCCAGTCTTGCAAACATTTGTTGGAATATCCCAATTGATATCCATCAATTCCTGTAGCCTTGCTTTTCACCAATGAAATGGGCAACTTAAACCTCTTCCTTTTAATTAATTTCTAACTCCTGAAATGGTTGAACATTGAACTGTTATTTTTAGTACAGTAACTGTGTATTCCTTCCATCTTCTTTTGATGCTTCCAACATTATTCAATATTTTGCCTATTGAATCCATCAATACTGCAACTTGAGGCTTGACTTTTCTCTTTAGTTCCTTCAGCTTGGGAAATACTGAGCATGTTCTCTTGTCATTTTCTAAAGCTAGTCCTTTTTTACATATTTCATTCTAATATTCTGTGTTCTCAAGCCTCCCTCTGAAATCTTCTGTTAAGCAATTCTTATGTCATGTTCCTAGTTACATACTAGGGGGAAATCTTCAAAAAGCTAATGGAAAAATTCCATTACCTTATAATTTCATTTTTCCATGAACTTTTGAAAGCCCTTCATATACATTTTACTACTATAAGCACTCACTGGTTCTTCATAGAAAATACGAAGACTTTGCCCATTTTTTCTTACTTTTTGTTTTTAAGTCACAGAATCCCAGTACTCTGACTTTCCTATATTCATTAGTCTTTCTGCTCCAGATTTACATTAACCTCGAACCCAATCCATCATTAAACCAAGTTTTTTTATTTTTCAGAGACGTGGTATAAATGGAATAAGTATGCATTCACTTCAGATTCTAAGAAATGTGGGTTTGAATCATAGCAATGTTGAGGCTTTTATATAATGATTTTCTTTGCATAAAAGAAAATATATAGGCAGGGCCAGAGCATGATACCCCATCGGTCCTGACCGAAGGACATGCCTAGAGATAAAAAATCAGACCTTGATCTATTTACAGGTTTTTCTTTCTGCTTAAATTTTTTTTCCTTTTAATTAATTTATTCTTCTATGGGTAATTGGTTTCCTTTTTTGTTGCCATCACTGTGTTCTCACTGATC